TGTCTATTGAAACAGCTGCATATAGTGTAGTACAGTAAATTTGCAATTACAAAAATACAGTCGTATACTGTACCTGTTCTCTTCTCTGAATGTCCTAACTATGGTGGACATACAAAATCGGCTCAAATTGGGTTGCACTCTAAGTCCTGCTTCCCTCATTGTCAGTCCATGGACAAGAACATGGTCTATGACTGTTGCTCGAATTTCATCAGATATTTCCACTCTTTGTCTTCCTCTTCCTCTTCGTCCTCCTCTTCCTCTTTCTTGCCCTCCTCCTCCTCTTCCTCCTCGTCACCCACCTCGCATACGCACTCGTCCTCGTCCTCTCACATTGTTTCTTCTATCCATTCACAGACTTTCTCCTTCCCACCTTCAACAACCTGTTTGCTCTCTGAACTGGCTTGTATTGGTTGTGTTGCATCATTTGAAACAGGTTAAATCAATTTTGAGTGGTTGTGTTCAATCAATGACACGTGTTCTCTATTTGTATTTCATTGTTGCCACTTGTGTTTACCAGTATGGATGACATGTGCATTAGAGTGCAGAATGTGTTTTGAGAATGAGAATGTGTTTAGAGTTTTGCTGAAAAGTCTAAGTGAGATCTGCAAATTGTGTTTTACCATGTGAAATAGTTTAAGGTATTGACAACAGACTCCATAATTAGATAAATGAGTCCAGGCAACTGAAAACTTTGTTCAGCCAATGGGTTTTACTGTTTTAGCAATTGCGAAAAACTGTAATGTCTATGTACAGTCTGCCTTCCTGTGTAACTCAGCCCCGTGTCCTTTCATCTTGGCTCAGCGGCCACCTTTCTCACACAGATGAATCGGTTTCTGTGAATAAGCCGGAATGGCTGTCACTTCTCCTGGCACGATGCAGAAAGAAACCAAACCCCCTACTCCTGCATGGAAACTGGCGCAGGCGCCTCCAACTGGACACAAACATTAGCATGACCGCTCTTCTCGTCCTAGCATGGCCGCTCCTCTCGTGGAAGGAGAGAAACACAGAGTAAAATGGCACACTCGAAGTGGATTGAGGTGGGATTTTTGTTATGGGTCCTCTAACCAAAGTGCCAGAAGAAGAATTCTGACTTACCCCGCTCACACAGCTCTGCGTTTTTTCAACCACTGGCTCATTTGCGGTCTGGTGCTTGTTATGACTCCCAACACAAGACCTTGCCAATTATTCTTCATTGCCATGATGGCAAATGTGCTCTGAATATGAGGTACTTTCAGGGCCATTCTCTCTCTCTTTAGTCCTGTATATACCTGCCTTTAACATGCGTCCTTCGTCCTGATCTTTTCCTGATCTTGAGCTGATCTTGTCTGTTTACACATATAAGATCTGATCACAATCAGATCACAATGCGTCTTTTAATAGTCTATACTCGTCTAAAAATGTGCCCACAATCAGAATGTGAACAACATCAGTACAAAGGCTGCTTGTTAGAACCAGGTATAAACAGGGCTTCTGTTAGGAAGCCATGCCCCTTCTGGACATGAGCAAGTGGGGTATCAAAGAGTACTGCTCATCTATCAACACATCAGGAATGATTTTGATGTTCCTGACTCTATCATACCACAACTTATTAATGGCAGGGGTTTATCTCTCCACTAGGATACCCGGGACAGGTAACCCCCCCCCCCCCCCCCCCCACACACACACACACACACCACATACAACCCCTCTTACCCCCTCACAGACAAACCCTAAACATGCACACAGATCTGAGGAATTTTTGAATTTCCCAGAACCTGTAAACATGGCGTTTCACTTCAGCGTCTTTGATCTTCAAACACAGCAGCATTTTGGCTCCAGGAACAGGGCGCAGTGAGGTGACTGTGGTCTCTGGTTGCTCTGTGTTTTATAGGGATGTTAGTGGTGGTGGCCATTTTGATGTATTCAATTCCATGAGTGTAGGTAATTTGTATTTTTTATTTGTATATATTTGAGTATTGTTATAAATTATTTTGGGGTGGTTATATATTTTTACAAAAACAAGTACCTCTATTTCCCAAATGCCACTTAGATTTTTTACTATCAATATAAATAAGAAACTGATACAAAATACAGAGTTGGCAGATGAACAATAGAGATATGGACTAATGATCAAATCGTACTTGATTGGCATTTGGCACGACTGAAATAAACCCTCATTCAGCTAAGACAGAAATGTGGCGCTTGTCAATAACAACCTGTTAGATGTAACGACAATCTCATAAACCATTTGTTGAAACACCCTCTGTATCTGCTAACTGGCATTCAAGCCTTCACCGCTGTGCTTTGTTGATCTCCCCCCTCTGAGATTTTTGGGGAACTTTGAGAAAGTTGCTAAGGTCTGCGTTTTGAAAACAATAATAATCAACAATAATCAGGGAAACAAAAACTTCTAAATAGATTTTTATATGACTTGACACAAGATGGACTGGAGATATGTCCCCCTACCACCCGCCCCCTCCCACTCCACTCAAAAACCCTTCAAAGATCTGTCGCCTACTTATTTCTTGAAGAAAAATCTGTTTATTGATTTGATGATATCTTTTACAGACAACCTCTGGCACCCACCCTCTTCTCAAATAGAAGATGGGAGGAAAGCTTTGCCTTTCGCTTTGAAGATTTTGTTCAAGATGTGATGTGACATCAATGTGTGTTGTCTATCTGATATCTTAAAGAGTCTGAAAACCCCAAAACATTAACAAGGCATCTGTCCTCCACAGGTTCTCACAATAATACACAAATGGAGCGGGACATGGTTACACCCCTGCAATATTCCCCGTGATGCAGACTCATATGCAGTAAGTCAATACTCTGATCTTAACATGATTTCTATTGTCTGGTCCTCACCAGAATAATTCAATTACCTGCGAGACTACAGAAACACAATGGGGGGAACAACCTACGTCTGCCTGTGCCTGTTTAACATGCAAAACAGCAGCAGCCCCAAGTTGGATAACAACATTTAAATCACAAACCATAGTTGTTTCCAAATGAAACTAAAAGCATTTTTACTTTTCATCGCTTCACAAACTCCCAGAGTGATGCTTTTCTTGAATCAAAGACTATTCAACAGGGCTGCTAATTTCCTCTGAGTTCATCAATGCTACGTATAGGCTCTGCTAGTCTTTTCCTTCCCCATAGGGTGCCCTCCTAGATTACCCCCCACAGACATAACCAGCTCCCTAGGATGGGAGTTCTGGCTGCAGCCCCTTGGTTCATGAGTTAGTGGGCTGGAAGGAGCTAATTTGATTGACTTTGAGCGCTAAGTTTTTTGCGGTGGTCCCCTGACAGTGCGAGACCTTTCTGGTCAGTGAGCGCATCGACTGGCAGTCAATCGGCACCTGACACATGTCAATGTCCAGTCCTCCAGGCCTGTGGTAGATAGATGGAGCTTGGAGGCAGATGCCCAAAGTGATGCTGATAAGATGGAATGGATATTGTTCTGGTTTGATTGGTTTTTGTGTCTCTTCACCAATGCATTTATCTGGTGGTCATTTCATGAAATTGTATAATAAGAAGCCAGAAATGCTTTTAACGTAGAATTCCTCAAAACGTATATTTAATTTATAGGAAAGCACGCATTAGCTTTTAATATATGTTCCTACAATGTTTTCAGGTCAAAAGCTAGGTATCAGATAATAAAGAAGCATACTTTATTAACCGTCAGGAAATTTTATTTTCATCTTACAGTCGTAAAATGACAGACAGACATTACCATACATCACACATTACAGTACAAGGTACAGTAAAAGGAACTGATCAAGGTGGGTATATTGAACTGTAGAAGGTGGGTATGTTGTACCCCACCTGACCAAGAACCTTGTCCCCCGATTGCTAAGTTTGGCCGAGCGGCCAGCTCTAGGAAGAGTCTTGGTGGTTCCAAACTTTTAAGAATGATGGAGGCCACTGTGTTCTTGGGGACCTTCAATGCTGCCGGCATTTTTTGGATAGCTCTCTTTTCTTGTCTATTGATGAGAACAAAGCTTACAAAGCCTTACCAAGAAACCCCCCTTTCCACACACATGCACACATGTACGCATGCAAACACACACACACACACCCCCACCCCCCGCCCACACACAAACTCCCTCCCACGACAACAAGTACACACAGACCCCCCGTCCCGTCCATACACACATTCCACCCTGCCCCCCATCCCCACACTCACTCATTCTCTTATTTAGATATTACATATTTCATACACTGAACATAAATGTAAAAGCAACATGTAAAGTGTTGGTCCCATGATTAGTGAGCTGAAATAAAATATCTCCAACATTTTTTGTACACACAGAAAGCTTATTTCTCTCAAAGTTGGTGCACAAATTTGTTTACATCCCTGTTAGTGAGCTTTTCTCCTTTGCCAACATAATCCATCCACCTGACAGGTGTGGCATATCAAGAAGATTATTAAAACGCATGATCATTACACAGGTGCACCTGTAAAAGGCCACTCTAAATACAATTTTCAGTTTTGTCACATAACATCATGCCATAGATGTCTCAAGTTTTGAGGGAGTGTGCATTTATAATAATAATAATAATATGCCATTTAGCAGATGCTTTTATCCAAAGCGACTTACAGTCATGTGTGCATACATTTTTAGGTATGGGTGGTCCCGGGAATCGAACCCACTACTACCCTGGCGTTACAAGCGCCATGCTCTACCAATTGAGCTACAGAGGACCATAAAACAGAGACAAGTCATCTATAGAGTGACAATAAGTAATTCAGCTTTTTACGACAAACAAAAAACATCCTGTGACTTAATTTACAGTCATGTAAAACATAACAGCATTAACAGTAAACAAGTGTGTGTCTGTAGTGGCTTATATGTTTTGTGTGTGTTTTTGTCCAGCCCAGGAAAGTGAGCAAATTCCTGTGTGTGTGCGTGCAGAGGTGTAAATGTACTGTAAACGTACCTGTGTGTGTGTGTGTCTCAGTCTTTGTGGCCTTTTTTTCCTGTAGGAATCAGTCAGTTCTCTACCACCCTAGCAGTGAGTTAGTTAAGTGAAGGAGAGCGTTCAGTAGTCCACAGCAATTCTATGTAGGGCCACTTGGTCTGGAGGCAGCGTTTCACTGGAGTGTCGTCTGTCCTCACCATGGGATCCTCAAAGCCCAGGACCAGGGCTGTACCCTGCACATACTCCACCCTCTCGTTGTGGTTGGACTGTTTCAGGCCATTGTAGTGGTAGACAGGGAAGGAGTCTGGGATTCCAGTATCCTGATCAGGGAAGAACTCCAGGAGGAACGGAGCCAGCAGCACGATCCCCAAGCCCTCTGGATCCAACGTACTCTTCATCAGATTCACATAGTATTCGGGTTCTGAGACGAGGTCTAGTGCCTTCATCACCTCCTCCAACAGAGAGTCTGGAATAAAGCCGTTATCTTCTGGGTCGAAGGTTTGGAAGACTCTCCTGGCCTGTTCAGATGGAGACTCAGGAGCCACCAGACACATCTCCTTGGCGAAGAACACTGAGAGATGAGTCTCACTGCCAAGGATCCATATAGGGAACTTCGGAGACTTCAGGAACGCACCCACCTTGCAGTAGCGTAGTGACTCCATGAGAGAGAGGAAGCCCACTGATGCCTGGTTGTGGATACCATGGAGCTTCATGCAAGAGCAGTCCCTGTCTCCGTCCCACACATTAGAGACAGCATGGCCCGTCACTAACAGGTTAACCAGACTCTGACTGCCGTGGCCATAGACTGGATCTATGAGAGGCTCTGTAGTATCTTCAATCTCATTCCTGATGTTCTCTATCCCTGTCACGGATTCAGCCGAGGCTGCTCCTCCTCCTTGCTCGGGCAGGCTTCGGCGTTCGTCGTCCCCGGAGTACTAGCTGCTGCCGATCGATGTTTCGATGTTTGTCTTGTTTGGTCTTTATTGTTTACACCTGTCCCATTATGTTTTATTGTGTTCCCTTTATAACCCTCTGTTTCTCATTGTGTATTGTGCGTAATTGTTTTGGTCTTTGCGGCAGTTGCCCATGTGTGCGGGTCTTATTATTTCCTCGCTGTTTGAGGTTGCCTGTGTACTTTGTATTTTTGCACTGCATCCAGTAAAGTTTCTGCCAGTAGCTCGGTGTCCTGCTCTTGACTTCGCCTACCGCATACACGTCGCTGTGACAATCCCCTTGGTGAGGATGACAGAGTAGAGGAAGAGCAGGACTCCACAGAGCCCTTTCCAGGTTTCGTAGAGAGACACAACCTCCTCTCTAAGCTCTGATAATGACTTCACAATACGCTTCTGGAGGATGCTGTGAAACCGCTCAAAGCCAAGATCCTCAGCAGACAAAGCAGTAGGTTGCTGGTCTTGCAGGTTCTGGCTGGTCTCTGGACCCCCTGTGAGGGGTGTGTGAGTGTTAGTGTGGGGGCTCTGTCCCTTGGCCCAGGTCACTAGGCAGTAGGAGGTAGTGGAGGAGGTAGAGCAGGCCTGTTCCAGGATCTCAGCCAGAGTAGAACACAGGGCCGCTTTCTGCTCCTCCTCTGTGATGTGTCTCCAGTTAGAACTCTCTCTGTTAAACAAGATGTTCTTCAGAAGGAAGGCCTGTACAGGAGCAATGACAGTGCAGGGTCCTCCTTCAAACTACTCCAGTGCTGTGTGTTCTGTCTCACTGAAGATCAACCCTTGGGTCCATCTCCGAAAGATTGAAGCGGACATCCTGTTGCTGCCTGGTCTTTCCCAAACTATATCCACAACCTCTTTATTTAACTCCCCCATAGCTCCTTACCTTACTCTGGTCCTACAGCCCTGGCTAACGGTTAGCTGGATAGCTAACTACAATCAAATACAGAGCTGTCACTGCGCACACAGCCACAGTCCCGTTCGGATTTTCCAGGAACTGGTGCTTCACTTCCCTCAGCAGACGGGGACGGTGGCATCGGCCACAACGAAGCTCCGTGACAGGGCAGTCTCCCCGGTCTGACCAGCGGACAGGCGGGAGATATGAGCATCAACATTAGTTAGTTAGTTAACCTAGCTAATATTAGGTGGGCGCGTCTGACCGGCTATCTTAGCGTGGGCCCACTTCTCCAGCAAAGCAGTGTGCGTAAACTAGCTACCTAACGCTAGCTGTCTAGCTAATTGGTCAGCTGTCCAGATTGATAACAATAAATTAGCGAGCCAGACTGTTAGCGAACTGCTCAATTCCCCTTGGTCAAAGTCGTACCGTCCTTGCTAGCCTGCTAACGTTACCTCGTTAGTTAAAGTTTGCAACGTTAGCTAGCTAAATGCATCATGTTTTGATGTTTCAAAGAGCGCTGAGGCTGTGGCAGTTTAAATTCAGGTCTAACTTTCGTTTAGTCCATTTTTAGGAGGCAAAAGCCTGTAATGGACATCCGAAGTAGTAAAAATATATGCTTATTGTCGGTATCAAAGACTAGCTAGCCGTCTGTCATTCTATTTACTTTACTTTGGCATGCTGACTGCAGGAATGTCCACCAGAGCAATTGTTTTTATTTTATTTAATTTTTAATTTTATATATATATATACACTACTGTTCAGAAGCTTGGGGTCACATAGAAATGTCCTTGTTTTCGAAAGAAAAGCAATTTTTTTGTCCATTAAAATAACATCAAATTGATCAGAAATACAGGGTAGACATTGTTAATGTTGTAAATGGCCATTTTAGCTGGAAACGGCTGATTTATTTATGCATACAGTTGAAGTCGGAAGTTTACGTACACTTAGGTTGGAGTCATTAAAACTCATTTTTCAACCACTCCACAAATATCTTGTTAACAAACTATAGTTTTGGGAAGTCGGATAGGACATCTACTTTGTGCATGACACAAGAAATTGTTTCAAAAATTCTTTACAGACAGATATTTTACTTATAATTCACTGTATCACAATTCCAGTGGGTCAGAAGTTTACATAGACTAAATTGACTGTGCCTTTAAACAGATTGGAAAATTCCAGAAAATGATGTCATGGCTTTAGAAATCTGATAGGCTAATTTACATCATTTTAGTCAATTGGAGGTGTACCTGTGGATATATTTCAAGGCCTCTTTGCTTGACATCATGGGAAAATCAAAAGAAATCAGCCAAGAAATCAGAAAAACAATTGTAGACCTCCACAAGTCTGGTTCATCCTTGGGAGCAATTTCCAAACGCCTGTAGGTACCACGTTAATCTGTACAAACAATGGTACGCAAGTATAAACACCATGGGACCACGCTGCCGTCATACCGCTCAGGAAGGAGACGCGTTCTGTCTCCTAGAGATGAATGTCCTTTGGTGCGAAAAGTGCAAATCAATCCCAGAACAACAGCAAAGGACCTTGTGAAGATGCTGGAGGAAACAGGTACAAAAGCATCTATATCCACAGTAAAACGAGTCCTATATCGACATAACCTGAAAGGCCGCTCAGCAAGGAAAAAGCCACTTCTCCAAAACTTCCATAAAAAAAACAGACTACGGTTTGCAACTGCACATGGGGACAAAGATCGTAATTTTTGGAGAAATGTCCTCTGGTCTGATGAAACAAAAATAGAACTGTTTGGCCATAATGACCATCGTTATCTTTGGAGGAAAAAGGGGTAGCTTGCAAGCCGAAGAACACCATAATGCTGTGGGGGTGCTTTGCTGCAGGAAGGTCTGGTGCACTTCACAAAATAGATGGCATCAGGAGGAAGGAAAATGATGTGGATATATTGAAGCAACATCTCAAGACATCAGTCAGGAAGTTAAAGCTTGGTCGCAAATGGGTCTTCCAAATGGACAATGACCCCAAGCATACTTCCAAAGTTGTGGCAAAATGGCTCAAGGACAACAAAGTGAAGGTATTGGAGTGGCCATCAAAAAGCCCTGACCTCAATCCTATAGAAAATTTGAGGGCAGAACTGAAAAAGTGTGTGCGAGCAAGGAGGCCTACAAACCTGACTCAGTTACACCAGCTCTGTCAGGAGGAATGGGTCAAAATTCACCCAACTTATTGTGGGAAGCTTGTGGAAGGCTACCGAAACGTTTGACCCAAGTTAAACCATTTAAAAGCAATGCTATCAAATGCTAATTGAGTGTATGTAAACTTCTGACCCACTGGGAATGTGATGAAATAAATAAAAGCTGAAATTAATCATTCTCTCTACTATTACTCTGACATTTCACATTCTAAAAATAAAGTGGTGATCCTAACTGACCTAAGACAGGGAATTTTTACTGGGATTAAATGTCAGGAATTGTGAAAAACTGAGTTTAAATGTATTTGGCTAAGGTGTATGTAAACTTCCGACATCACATCTAAGTTCCCACAGTTGACAGTGCATGTCAGAGCAAAAACCAAGCCATGAGGTCGAAGGAATTGTCCGTAGAGCTCCGAGACAGGATTGTGTCAAGGCACAGATCTGGGGAAGGGTACCAAAACATTTCTGCAGCATTGAAGGTCCCCAATAACACAGTGGCCTCCATCATTCTTAAATGGAAGAAGTTTGGAACCACCAAGACTCTTCCTAGAGCTGGCCGCTCGGCCAAACTGACCAATCGGGGGACAAGGGCCCTTAAATGTGCCCTTAGAGGCCATGCAATTCAATACTCATCTTTAAAACATAAGCAATTTAAGTCAAAATAATTCATATTAAGAAAGGAAATAGAGGGACTAACCGTACAGACAGATATCAATAAAAATAGTACCATAGAGGCACATAATAATTTAGAGGAAAAACAAAAATAAATGTAGTAACCTATTCAAGAAAGATCAAGTGTAATATATTATAAAAAATAAAGCGAACTGGGTGGAATATGGGGGAAAATGCACAAATATAAAAATAACCTTCTACATAGAAATGCTACCAAAAAGAATTTACTGAAACTTGTTACAAATGACAGCCACCGATGATTCATCAAACAATATTTTGAAAGAGGAAGCAAAGTACTTTAAGCATATGTTTTCATTTCAGTCTCCTTCAGCTCCACTAACCGAAGTTAATTGTAAGGATTTTTCCTGATTAATAATGTAAAATTAACAGCTGTACAGAAAGACTCATCTGAAGGCCAAATTACAGAGGAGGAACTTCTTGATGCAATTAAATCCTATAAGTCTGGACTGGATGTCATACCAGTTGAGGTATACCAAACCTTTTTTGATGTACTCAGAGGACCGTTATTAGCTGTTTTTAACCACTGCTATAAAATAAATGGTAGATTATCAGATAATCAACAAGAAGGTCTGATTTCATTATTACTGAAACAGGACCCAAGTGGTAAATATAAAGATCCAGTCCATTAAAAAAATTGGAGGCCCCTTACACTTCAGTGTTGTGATGCAAAAAATTATAGCAAAGTGCATAGCGCATAGAATTAAAAAGGTATTGTTGGATATTATTCATCCTGATCAGACAGTTTTTTTTACATGGACGATACATTGGAGATAATATAAGAAAATACTGGTAACAATAGAACACCATGAAAAATCTGGGAAACCAGGCCTGGTATTCATAGCTGACTTTGAAAATACTTTTGATAAAGTACAACTGGAATTTATATATAAATGCCTGGAATATTTCAATATTTTCTAACAAAGGTGTCATTGTATGCTGATGATTCATGTTTTCTTTTAAATCTAAAATGTTGATCCCTCAACAGTCTCATAGAGGATCTAGATACCTTTTCTAACCTCTCTAGATTACAACCAAATTATGATAAATGTACTATATTACGTATTGGATCACAAAAAAATACAACTTTTAAATTACAGTGTAGTTTACCAATAGAATGGTCTGACAGTGAAGTGAACATACTCGGTATTCATATCCCGAAAGAAAGAAATGATCTCACTACAATAAATGTTAATAGAAAGTTGGCAAAAATAGAGAAGATCTTTACTACCGTGGAAAGGAAAATATTTGTCTATTTGTGGAAAAATCACCCTGATTAACTCTTTAGTCATATCCCAATTTACCTATTTGCTTATGGCCTTGCCTACACCTAGCGAATAGTTGTTTAAAATTATATCTGCAAAAAATTGTCAATTTTATTTGAAATGGCAAGCCAGACAAAATTAAATGGGCCTATTATTTTCCATTTTCCATTATATAATGAATATGAATTCGGAGGGCAGAAATGATTAAATATTAAAGAATTAGACCTCTCACTAAAAGCTTCAGTCATACAAAAGTTATACTTGAATCTTGACTGGTTCTATAGCAGTAATTATGTCTCACCCCATGTTCAAGAATGGCCTTTTCCCTTTATTCAGATTACAACCTCTCACTTTCGGTTATTTGAAAATGAAATAATCTCCAAAATGTAGCTATTTTTAAAACAAGAAAGTTGGTTGCAATTTCAGTTTAATCCACCAGAAAAGATAGAACAAACATTACAACCAATTTTATGGTTAAACTCAAATATACTAATTGATTTTTTTTTTAAAGATTTGGGAAGAAAATGTTTTAAAAAAGTATAATCTTTGTAAATGTTTTATTTTTATTTTTATGACTGGTGGAGTTATGTCACACATGAAGCTAACAGAAATATATGGAAATGTCTGCTCTACTCAAAATTACTACTAACTAATTGCAGCATTACCGCAAAAATGGAATAGGCAAGTGGAAGGGGGAGAAAGTAAGGAACATGTCTGCCGGCCCTGCATTAAAGATCAACATTGGCTAAATAAAATTGTGATAAATAAAAAAGTATACCAGTTTCATTTAAGTTGCAAAAAATGTACAGCTGTGCCATACAAATTGCAAAATAGTTGGAAAGAGATCTTCAATGTACCG